TCTGGCATCCCAGCACTTCTGTGTCATGTGATCGTGATCTGGTGCTTGGTAATTAACTTGCATTTACCACAGTTGCAATATCCTATATCACATCATCATCACTTGAAACCTTTACTTTTGGCTTCCCCTAAGCAAAGTCAGTCAAAGAGCTGGTAGGAAAGGTTCTGAGTTGCTCTAGTACAGGGGCCAGTCTGTGGACTGGCACAGGTCCGCAGCATCCAGAAACCGCTGCACACAAATAAGTGAAACCCTATCCACCAGATATAGACAGCTGTAAAGTTTCCTAACAATGGGAAACACTGTGTCTGTGAGCTTGCGGGAGTGTAAGCGCAGGGTTGTAAGTTTCCTTGGTTGTTTCTTTGGAATAGCATCGCTCCCACTACCATGTCGCTGGCATCTGCTTGGATCACGATGGGTTGCTCGGGGTCAGGATGCTTCAGCACCGGTTCCTTTGCAAACATTTCTTTTAGTGTCTTAACTGCCTTTTGGCAGGTTAGGTCCCACTGTAGAGGTTGTCTTGGGCAAGATTTTGTTCCTGGGATCCCTGTCTTTAAGAGATCTGTCATGGGTTTGGCAATCTTTGCAAAGAAGGGGATGAATTGTCTATAGAAGTTCATGAACCCTAGGAAGCTTTGTAGCTGTCTGCGGTGCAAGAGGTTTGCCAGCCTATGATGGCTTGCACTTTGGCTGGGTCCATCTCTATTCCCTCATTTAACACTCGGTAGCCCAGGTAATCTAGTCGTTCATGGTGGAATTCACATTTTGATAGCTTGATGTACAGGTTGGTTGCCAGAAGTTTTTCCAGTACCTTTTGGACCAAGGGTATGTGGTCATGCATAGTCTCTTTAGATGAGGATGTCATCCAGGTAGACAAGGACCCCCTTGTAGAGGTGCTTGGGCAGCACCTCGTTTATTAACTGCATGGACACTGCAGGGGCTCCCTGTAGTCCGAAAGGCATCATTTTGAATTGGAAGCTCCCTAGGGGACAGTTGAACACTGTTTTCCACTCATCTCCTTCCCTGAGTAGTATGCCTCCCTGAGGTCTAGTTTGGTGAAGACTTTTCCTTGGCCAAGTGAGATAGCATTTCTTTTATGAGGGGGAGGGGGGTATAGGTTGTGTACGCACACTGCATTGATTCCTCACACACAGTCTCATAGTTTCATCTTTTTTCTCTTTGAAGAGGACTGGCGCTATAATCAGTGGCTTGGCCAGTTTGATGAACCCTCATGCTAGATTTTTGTCTATGTATCTGCACATTTCTTGTATGGCGTACAGTTTGGGTTTGGGTAGTGTTTGCCCCAGGGATGATTTCGATGGCACAATCTGCCTCACCGGAGGGAGGGGCAGAATGTTGCACTCGGTCTTGCTGATATTCCCCTGGGATCTGTTCGGTCTCTGGGGTTTCGTCGGATGTGGCTTCCAGATGTTCTGGTGTGCTTTTGGGGGGCTCCCTGCTGGGTGGTGTTTCTGCTTGCTGGTGTGGAAGGGGCTGGGGCCTCTTTTCTATCCTAAGTCTGTGGGTGCCCCCTTGCCACCAGATGGTCGGTCCCCACTTGTCCAGGAGAGTCCTAGTATGACTGCATCTGTCATTTTGGGGGCTATTATGAATCAGATTACTTCCCAGTGATCCATTAGCTCTCATCTCACTGGTTTGGTCAGGTGGATTGCATAGGCTCCCCCCCCATTAGGGACCCGTCGACCTGTTTGAACCGGATTGGGTGGGTCAGCCTTTTTGCTCTGATCCCCAGTTTCAGGTCTGTGGTCAGGTTGATCAAGCATCTAGTGCAGCCTGAGTCTATTAGGGCTTGAAAATCCCCGTGGCTTTCCATCTTTCGGGCTGTGAGGCATATTGGAAAAGGAAAGGGTGAATTGGTCCTCTCACCATTGGGCCATTTTTGCCTTCATCGTCACTGTCATAGGATTCTGGTGACTGGTCATTGTTGCCTGGGGTCCCCCCCTTCCTCTGGGTGGGGAAGGACCTCTGCAACCTGGAGGGCCTTCCAGGATACGTGGTTGGCCCCGTTCCAGTTGTGCCCTGGATAGTGGCTCTGGCCTCGGCATCGGGGTTGGGGTCAGGCCGCAGATGCCATGTGCCCCAGCCCCCTGCATCTGCAGCATTTCAGCGGACTTCGAGGGGGGGCTGGTTTTAGGACCCACTGTGTTGCTGTGGGTTCCCGTCGGCCGGGCGTTTTCAGGTCGAGGTGACCTCTCTCTTTCATGTCCGGTNGTACAAGGCATATACAAAAACAGGAGAACATGAGGTAGACCTAGCAGAGACATGGAGACACAACATCAAAGATACATTGCCACAGCATCAATCAACAACAAGAAGCTATTGAATTTCAGCAAAGCAATTATTTAGGTTTTCCCACAATTTTTGGGAAGATTAAAAATAGTGAGCATTTTGTTTCTTTGGAGAAGTCCCACCATTCAGTTAATTAAGAACCATCAAGGCAGTGTGACCTGTGCCAACTATATGGTCACACGTTTGGTCTCTATCTTGACTTTAGTAACTTGTAACTTTTCCAAAGACATTCCCGTAACCTTTTTGATCCTCTCAACCAGTAAATCACTTCTAAAAACTTGCCAAGAAAACTGCAGGATCTAGTCCAGACTGTTGCCAGGAGTCACTCCTGACTTAAAGGTGCAAATAGATATCCTCAGAAAGTTATCCAGTCTTCTTTTAATGTAGTAGCAGGTTGATTTGTCACAGTGGATTTAATTTTTTTAACATATTTATATTGTTGAATTAAAGCAGTTTCATTGTAATGAAGTTTGTATCACATTATTAAAATGTTACATCTAGGTTATCCCTACAAGTATAATTCACTCTATGCAAGAATCAGAAGGATTTATTCATCAGGATAAGTGTGTTTTACAGAATGGTTTGAAAGCAACAAACTATGCAGCAACCAAAACAAATGTGCCAGAAAATAAGCAAACTCTGATGTCTACCCCAAAGGTAAACAACACTGCAACTATATTTAAGTTAAGTTTACTTTATTGCCATTGCACCTCATACAATGAAATTAAATGCCATCTTCAGTTTTTCTATTATTTTTGTTCACTGTCTGTCTGGGAATGGGTAAGGAAAGCAGGCTGGGATCTAGTTGCTTGGCAAGAGAAAGGGGAGTTTTATTTTAATAGCTGAAATCTCAAGATAAATAGTGTCTGATTCATGTAGTTTTTAGAATTAGGAACATACAAAATAGCCAAAGTAAATTTTCTTTATGACATGAATATTTTGAGTGTTCTGGCTAAAGGAAAAAAAATAAGAATTGGGATCAGCTGCTGCTCCATTTTTCCCCACGCTAGATTCCTAGATTGGATATCATCTACCAAGTATATTGGATTGTTGTCCACCATCCAAAATACAATTAATTTGGCAGAAGGGAAGATTTTTAAAATATTTTTGAAAAATGATCCCCAAAACAATTGAAACAGACCCGCTTTGTTTTAATCCTTTTAAATTCTTCAGATGTGATGGTTAACTCTTTCAACTCCCAGTTACTGAAAAAAAATCCATAATAAATCTAAACTTCATTCTGTATAAGAATGATACAAAAGCTTAATTCTTAGCATTTAATCAGAATTTGTATAACTATGAACATTAACAAAGCATGGATATACAGTAAGTTTACTTCCTTAAACAAAAGAACATTCAGCTAATTGATATTGTTAGATCCAGCCCTTATTTTGTATGTCTAATGCAACTTCTTCGATGCAAATAATTTTTCACTCATTAAACTATAGGTAGTTCTTGGTTAACGATCATTTGTTCAACAACTGCTGGAAGTTATGACAGTGCTGAATGAAACTAGTTCTTTAAGTTCTGGCATCCCAGCACTTCTGTGATCATGTGATCGTGATCTGGTGCTTGATAATTGACTTGCATTTACCACAGTTGCAATATCCTATATCACGATCATCATCATCACTTGAAACCTTTACTTTTGGCTTCCCCTAACCTGGAGGGCCTTCCGGGATACGTGGTTGGCCCCGTTCCAGTTGTGCCCTGGGTAG